AAACCAAATCTATATTTACGTTAAGACCTTGTTTTACAACCAAAACCATTGCTTTTATTTAAGCGACAATTAATTTGTGCGACAAAAACATTAATTTAATTGCATTTCATTCATATTTTATAGTATTTTTTGATTGTTTTTCAATTTAATAATAATTATTGACAACAAAAACAATAACTAAATAATAATTGAATTGCCGTTCAATTGATGAGCGATTTATAAACACTTATTATTCATAAACAAAATAGACATTAATTAATAACAAGTATTAGTAATTGAATTGACAAATGTCTCGACACAAAGGGGAGAGGGGGTCACACGTGTCGGCCAGTGTTGGCAGTAGTGGTGGAAGTAGTGGTGGGAGCAGTAGTGGAGGCAGTGGTGGGGGCGGCGGTGCGGCCAACACTGCGGCCATGACTTCACTGGAGTTGTGCGACGCCGACGACATCGCTACCAGTCTTGTGGTCGACCAGTACTTAGGTTTCACCACACATAAGATGAACACTAGGTCTGTATACTATCACCACAAACTGATCCAATTATTGCTAACATGTGTCTAATGGATGTGTCTCTCAGATTCCGTTCGCCTAAAATTAATCCCAAAGACTATCTGAAGAATGTATTGATTTGTTTCAAGAAGAATCAAAACTACGAGCAAACCATCAATAAGTTGTTTGCCGGCGATTGGGCTAATGCTATGTATGTGTGCTAACACTCCCACCCCTTACGCCTCCTTTATTACATTTGAAATGACCATTATTTTTGAAAATTACAATTTTGATTACTATTACTATTTGAAGTGATTAATAATGAATTGATGTTTAGGTTTCACAGCAAAAGCCAGAGAATGCAACGAATCATAAGAAGTCATTTAACAAACTTTTTGCGGATGTTTGACGGGAGGGCCGGCTATGAGATTAAGCCCTGTTATAGGTATTCAATGGAAGGCAAGTCGGGGGCCAAACTCTGCGCCACTCAAAAGTGGCTTAAAAACGAGAAAATTGAATATCTTATCGGATGTATCGGTGAACTCACTCTCAAAGTAAGCAATTATTGTTGCATTTGCTTATCATTTTGGATCACTTTCTAATGAGATCTATATTTATAAATGTATTTAATTTGAAAACAATAACTAAATGCAAATGTTTTGATGCAACCAAACAGGAAGAACAGGAACTTTTAAAACCGGGAATCAATGACTTTTCGGTCATGTATTCGTGTCGCAAGAACTGCGCCCAACTGTGGTTAGGTCCCGGCGCGTACATCAACCACGACTGCCGACCCAACTGTCGGTTCGTCAGCACCGGGAGGCAGACGGCGTGCGTCAAAGTGTTGCGACCCATAGATGTGGGCGAAGAGATCACCTGTTTCTACGGCGAAGACTTCTTCGGCGATGAAAACTGTTTCTGTGAGTGCGAGACGTGTGAGCGAAGAGTGACCGGAGCTTTTGCTCAGAGGGCCGCCCAAACAGACAAACAGCTCACGACCAACACTGCCAACACTCAAGAGATTAATAACAATATTAGTGTTAATCATAGCATTAATAACAATAGTATTAATTGTTTGACAAACAGTTTAATTCATAATAATGTGTTGAATAATAATAAGAAACAGACGTATAGTTTGCGGGAAACAGATAATCGCCTCAAAAGACAGGCCCGCAAACAGGTTAACCAACAAATGAGCCACTATTTGTCATTTTTGCCACTATTTGAACAATTTATTAATTATTAATATTTTTCTTTTGACAGCAAACCAAAAAAGAGGACGAATTGAATGCAGACAACAGCTTAACGGCCCATAACTTGAGGTCAAAACCGATTAAAAGCGAAGAAATTACTCACAACTCAGACATTTGTGAACAACTAATGGAAGACAATCACAGCGAAGACGAGAATATGGATTGCGCCGACGATTCCAATGATAAAAGCCATAAATTGGTTAAAAATATAAACAATAATCACATGAAGAGTAAAACGCGGAAAATAATGACCACTAAAATGAATTCAACAAATCTTAAAAATACGGCTAACAAAAGGACTATAAGTGCCTCTCCATTAAGGGTCTCATCACCGCAGGGCCGACAACTGACCACCAAAACAGGTCTGACCAACAACTCTGTCAAACAGGACTCTGTTGGCCACAAACTCGCGTCGCCATCGAGTGTCTCATCACTCCGAAGGTCTACAAGAATTGCGTCGACAGGTATTTGGTTTTATAATTATATATAAGCCTTGATTTACTGACACTAATGTTTAATTTAAGGCTCGGAATCAGTGAAATCCGACGAATCCGATGCTCAAGTGGTGCCCACCAGTTGTCCATCAGTGGTGACCCGTCCCTCTGATACGGCCACCAGTAATGATGTGCCGACGGCTCCGGTCGTAAACCAACAAAATTGTCTGAAACTGACGATTCGTGTGCGACGATTGAATTCATGCCAAAACAACGGACTATCAAATCAAAACACAAGCAAAATGTCAAACAATAGCAATATTTACGATTCGGCCGACGACTCAATAC